GCAGTCAGAATGGAATGTGGGAAACCCTGGGCATTTTATTGTAGAAAGTAAACAATTTATTTTCTTCCTTCACTTGTGTTAGGAAGAAATGTGTTACTGAATATGTTACTGTAAAAGGAATTTTTGCTGTGTACATGGTACAGGAACAAAAGCTGGAGAATTGAATTGTCTGCATAGCTGAGCAAAAATATTGCTGTTCCGTGCCTGATATGAGTCAAATACCTTTAATAGAATACTTACATTTTCTGAACAGAATGAAAACCAGGCATGACACTGAAATTTCCTCTCAACACAGAATAACTTGTAATATAGATAACCCATAACTATGGGGACATATTTCCTTATAGTCTTAGAGTTTAAAAATTAAGCATTGTATCATCAATGTAAATATTGTACTTCTGAACTTCAAATATAATCATGGTACTAACACTATCAAGTCAATAAAATATATTTTAATATAGCTGTAGAAAAATTATTACAACAAATTATAGAGTCCTTGGTAGCAGTAGCTGTGTCTTATTTTACTAAAGGGAAATATTACATTTCATTGTAGATTATTTTTGTGTTTTATAGATCACCTGTGCATACATACTTCAGAGGGAAAAAAGCAATCAGCATTTGCCACTAGCCTAGCACAGGTTTAATTTCTAATTTTTACTGGTAGCTTATAGGAGAAATTTGTTTATTGTGTACAATGTTTAAAATCCTGAGCAAGACCATCTTCACCATCTGGAGCTCTACATTACAAAAGGAATCTACCTAGTGAAGCACAGTATCAGATGGTTTACTTTTATTATTTTCTAGATAGGTAGAGAAAAAAGGAATTAATACTAAGCGGTGGCCTTCCATGTTCTCTGTGCATTATGCTGCTTGTTTTACATACATTATTTTACTTACTCAAAAAAGAATATTTGTATTTTAAATATAGGCATTATCATCCCATCTTACAGATAAATGGGAGTTCAAGGAGTTGCAATAAATAAGCCAAAGTCACACCAAAGGAATAACAATATTCAAGCCAAAAGCCAAGTACCATTTATTCATAAATCTCATGTTATGTTCACTCTATTCAGCCTAATTGAAAGGAGATGATCATTTTTGATGGAAATATCATTATATATACTACTAGTGGAGCAAACCATTTAGTCTGGTTGACCTAAAGCTCCTGGAAGAGCCGCCTTCAAACTGTTCACTCCTCAAGATTGTTTTGGGGAATGATGGGAACTTATGAGAGCGGTGAAGAGCAAGGGTCGTGGAATCTGAAAGCTGACATTTCACTCCAGGCCCTCCCATTAATCAGTCTCTTCACGCCTTCTTCTTCTCACCTTTAAAGTGGAGCTGACATTACCTAGCTTAGTTTGTTGTTAGGACTGAATGAGATGATATAAAGCTCTTAGAATGATTCCTGGCACATAGGAATTGTTCAATAAATATTAACTAATTTATTTGCATGGGAAATTTTATTTTGTAACTTCAGAGAGAAAGAAAAAGTTTTGAGGAGAGAGGACTCTGAATAAAATAAATGGTCCCTGGGTTTATGATTAGTTGGTGAAGGCCAACATTTGGAAGAGGTGATGGTATGTTTGCTTGCCTATTTGTTTTAGAGGCTTTATGTAAAATCAGCAGAACTCTTCTATATCTAGCTGCCAGAAGCAAAGGCAGCATGAGGGCACCAAGAGATAGAATGGCCAATGGCTTTTTACAGGAGTGCAATTGGGAGGCTGCTTCAATATTTGTCAGATCATGTTTGTTGTCAAGGGGAGCCAGTGCAAGAACAGAAGAACAAGTGGACCCCAAAGTTTGGTTTATACCTGTATAGTTTTAAGAGCCTTATTGCATACTCTCGTAAATGCCTGAGGAGACTTTCGAAGGAAGGATGAACATACGAAAAGGCCGCAGCAAGAATTTCAGGAATCAGTTGTAACATGGTATAAAAATGGCATCTTTATATTGGGAAAATTTAAAGCTAATGGCCGATTTTATATTTACATCACACATATACATATATTTATATAGACCACATACTTGAACCATGACCTCCTTTATTTTGCCCCACCCCCTAATATAAAATTAATGCCTAATGAGTTGGGAAAGTAGATGTTATCAAGCAAATACAGTCATACCTTAATACTCATTGGCTTCAGAGCTCATCAAACCTGGTACTCATCACATTTGATGAAGGAAAAAATGTTTCAGCACTCAGTGCTCGTCACACTTGCTAGCACTTGAATGAGTCGCACTGCTACCCCACAAGAGAAAATGCTTCATTGTTCAGTACTGGGTGGTTTCGGCACTCCTCACGAGTTCCAGAACCAATTAACTATGGGTACAGAGGTAACCCTGTATGTGTTGAAATGATAGAACCCTTGACTTCCACAATTTATTTTTTGTTGTTAGAAATAAAGAGAAAAATCATTAACAGGTGTTCATTTCTTAATAATTACAACATATTTTGTTCCTACATTTGGTTTTAATCATATAATTAAAAATACATTGTTTTGAAGATTTTCATTAGCAATATGGCCCTGCGAAGATATGTAAGCATCTATACTCAGTATCTTAGAATTCAACATTATATTGCAGTCGCTAAAATTTTATTTTATTTTACATTTTGTCTTTTCAATTGTGTGCTCTCTTGAATCAGCCACTATTTTATTCATCCTTTGTGAGCCTGTAACAATCCCTAATGGAACAGAATGTCCATATAAATTATTTAAAAATATTATTAATGATTGAGACAGTATCCAACGTCCTGCCTGTTTTCACTAGACTTTACTATGGTATTTTAAACTGATGACTGCTCTCTCTTTTGAAAATTCTCTTCACTCTGGAAGCTTACTGTGGCCTCTGGAATATTCTGGCTTCTCATCTCCTATACCTCTGTCATTCCTCCTCCATACCCAGCGTTTACCTTCCTCTGTCTGTCTCCATCCAGACCCTTGCCTGGGTGCTGGCATGTATCACCTGCCTTCCAAACTGCTCCCGTGCAAGTCTCCCAGAGCACTTCAGCTCAGGCATCCAGGGGACTCGTCAGCTTCAACCTCTTTCTTTTATCTGTCATCTCTAACTCAAACTGCAAACAAAACTTAGAGATTGTAATAAACCTCATGCCATCAGCGTTCACAGAATTAATATTGCAACAAACAGGAGAAAGGTTAGAACTCAGTATTTTTAGAAATTTTGTTTTAAATAGTTTTTGTCTCCTAACTCTAAACTGAAATATACTGCTCAAGAACATATTAGGAGAATGACTTAGATTTTGTTTTGGATGTTCATTCATTCAATAATTTTAAAAGACATTCATGTTTAAGCATGGTTCTAAATTCAGCTGTGTTGGAGAGAATAGAAGAAATGTTAAGATGTATTTCCACTTTTACGGAGAAAGTCATAAGAGCAACTAACTGAATCAACTATGTTTTCATTCTGTACTTTTTAAAAAGTCTAGTAGCATTGGTGAAATTATAATCAAGCATCCCTGTTTCATTTGTTTTTTCCTTTGCCTAGTATTGGAACCCACAAACTGTGCATCTGCATTTGCTATTTTTAGAGACCATGCCAATTATTTTATGTCATTTTGTAATAAAACTGCTTTCATCTTTACTATCTATAGTTTTATTTTATAACCTATATATGTCTATTAAACTTTTTAGAATAAGAGTAAATCTAAAGTTGTCACTATTCTCTTAAATAGATCAATGGAAATACTATAGATTTGGAAATCAATGATATATATTATAGATTAATAATAATTACACACATTGTTTATTTTTAAATATTTAAAATAGCATAATAAATTTGCAGAAGAACTATATCTGCTTATAAAATGTAGGAATGTTCCTGCTAGGGATTATGGGAGTGTACTACCAATATAATGTTCTTAGAAATTAAAAAAAAGTTATGGGGGGAATGACTGTCCTTGAACAACAATTAAAAATAGAAAATTTGAGTATAGTTTTGCCATTTTTTAAATGGAAGGAAAAGAGGATTTTTTTAAGTTTTCTTTTAATTTTTTAATTAAACAGGTGTTCAGAATCAAACTTTTTAAATCAACACTTTTAAAGCAACATTTGTTCAATTACATGCATGTAAATTAGAGGTAACATATGGATGTATCTTCAATGTGGTTTCCAAAAATGAGTGATAACCAGATGATAGAAAAATGTGTAATACCAAAAATCTAGGTATTCCTCAACTGTGTATACAGGGGAAAATGTAATAATTTACATAGTGCATAAGTACCTTAAATATTATTTTTAATTAAATACTTCTAGAAAACGTTCAAAATGATCCTGAAATTTGAACACTTTATTAGTCATAGAAGACTAATAATAAGAAGAAGATCATAGTTAAAAAAAGGTGCTTGAGTTACATGGATTCAATTCATCCATGACCAATCAACACTCAGGACCAACCTAGAATCCTTGCTACCTTGTTCTGCTGTCCCTTATTGCCAATTCCCCTTCTTATATTTTCTTTTCTGCATTTTATTAATTCTCTAATCCTGAAATGCCAAACTTTGTTGAAGAATATCATGTAACTCTATTGATGGGTCTCCATTTGATCATGCCAAAAAATCATCTTTGGAAGTTGTTGTGCCCTTTTGGGAGTCATTTTATATATTTCTTGCTAATGACCTCATTCTTCATCATTGTTCTATTAAGCCTTTTCCATTGCCTTCTGTTCTTATTTATTAATTTACTTATTTATCTGTGGCTGGTTTAGCTCAATGGATCAAGCACAGGCTTGCAAACCAAAGGGTCACAGGTTCCATTACTGGTCAAGACACATGCCTGGGTTGCAAGCCAGGGCCCAGGACATCTGGGCATATGGGGGCAACCACACTCTGATGTTCCTCTTTCTCTCTTTCTCCTTCCCATCCCCTCTCTCTAAAAATAAATAAAATATTTTTTAAAATTACTTAATCAATAAATTAATTATTAAACCATCATGTGTCAGGCATTGTTCTAGCTATATCAGAAAATAACACAAAAATAAATATAATACTTACCTGGCAGGGTGGATTCCGTGACCAGGAAGGTGGTTTTCCCTGGGTGAGGTTTAGCTGCTGCACTCTGGATGTTCTGGCCCCTGTGAGTTCCCAAATGTGGGAAACTCCACTGGACAATGTGTAGTAGTGGGCAACTGTGTTCCCACTATCCCCTGGAAAAAAATACAGTAATGCACTTTCTTGACAAACTAATTGGTTCATAATATACATTGTTAATTTCTAAATTTGTCTTGGCATAAGTATAATAGATCCTGTTCTCAGAGATTTTGATCTGGGTGAGGATCCAGGATGTTTAAAAATATTCCTTAGTTGTTCTGATATACAGGTGGTTTATGTAGATGAGAAGTACATGTTTGAAACTTGGAGAAAAATTTGAGAATCAAGAGCTTCCTGTAGCTGTATAAAAATGTGTAAAGCTAAGAGAAAAAGAAAGTGCAAGAGGAAAACAAAGACTAAAAGTTTGCAGCATATCTTTGACCTGGTCACAGGTAACAAAGTATAGGGATGGTGTTCTGTAGCATCAAATACTACAGAGAGTTGGCACATGATTAAAAATGATTCTAATTATCATTCATTGTGATCTTGCTATGTACCAAACACTGTGCTACATGTCACAAACTTTAACATGTTCAATTAATTTTTAATTTATTTTCTCTTAAAATATAGTTAACACACAATATATTGTTTCAGGTATAAAATAGAGATTCAACGTGTATATACCTTATGATGTGATCACATGATGTCTGACTTGTTATTATAGTTATTACAATACTAAGTTGTCCTTATAATCATCATTACAATATTACTGACTGTATTTCTTCTGCTATATATAACATACCCATGACATTTATTTTATAAATGGGAATTTGTACCTCTTCATTTTTTTCACCAATCCCTCACCCTTCTCCTCTCTGGCAATCATTAGTTTGTTTTCTGTATCTATGAATCAGTTTTTTTTCTTGTTGATTCTACATACAAATGAAATCATATGGTATTCGTCTTTACACATTTTGGATATTAACCCCTCATTGGTTGTTCATTGTCAAACATCTTCTCCTGCTCATTAGGTTGTCTTTTCATTTCGTTAATGGTTTCCTTCACTGTGCAAAATTATTTTAATTCTATGCAGTTCCATTTGTTTATTTTTTTTGTTTCCTTTGCCCAAGGAATACATCTGAAAACTATTGCTATTTTCTATGTCCAAGACTTTTCTGCCTATGTTATCTCTTAGGAGTTTTATGGTTTCAGGCCTTATACTTAAGTCTTTAGTCCATTTTAAGTTTATTCTTGTGTATGGTGGAAGAGAGTGGTCTAGTTTCATCTTTTGCATGTATCTGTCCAGTTTTCTCAGCGCCATTTTTTGAAAAGATTGTCTTTAATGCACTGTATAGTCCTGCCTCGTTGTCATAGATTAACTGACCAAATAGATATGGGTTACACTGATCTGCATGTGCCTGTTTTCTGTGCCAGCACCAAGGGATTTTGATTACTATAGGCTCATAATATAGTTTGATATCAGATAGTATGATACTTCCAACTTTATTCTTCTTTCTCAAGATATCTTTGGATACTTGGGATTTTTGTGGTTTCATGTTAACAATGGACAGCCCTCAATCCTCCTTCAGAAGGAATTGCTGTGTATGCTGGTGTATACTGTATATTTGGTGTGTCTGTGGGAATAGGTAAGTTCAAGGCCTTTCTACAGTATCACAGTGGACCTGCTTCCCTAACATGTTCAATCGTACAACACTTATCTAGGCCATTAATCTTCATATGCATTAATAACTTGCCCAAAGTCTTCAGTATAAAGATTAGAATTCAATCCTTTATCTGCTACATTGTCATTGTAGTGGTTATTTGAATGTCATTCCCCTCAAGGATTTTAACCCACAATAAAAATGTATACATTTTTACTCAAGAAAAAAAGAAGCAATTGATAGAATTAAGTTCCAAGGAAAAAAATAAGGAATGGGATTAAGATCACAGAACTGAATTTTATTTAAGAAAGTAACTGTTTCAGAACTTGTGTGAGGATATACTGAAAATGTGTGTGGAAATGTATTTGAGGAGGTTCAATGTATGTGAGTGTAAAATATGATTCTGACCATGCAGCAAAGGTGGAGAGGACAAAAAATATAAAGATGAACCAAGTTTTTGATTCAAGGGACTAAATATTTAAGGAAGTTCTAATCAACCCTTTATTTGTAATGTATGAGGAAGAGTAAAGGTGCTGAGGCAAGTTTGGGCCAGAAAACTCTGGGTAATCTCAGTGAACCTTATCTTTCATTGTACCCACAATTCTCACATTCTTACTTCTACCTCCTCATACATATGTACATGGAGACTAGCAGTGTTCCCAAACATCCATCATTATCATGTTCTGATCCCCATGTGGATTTTTATTCCTTTTTATTGAATTTATTGAGATGACACTAGTTAACAAAATTATACAGGTTTCAGGTGCACAATTCTACAGCACATCATCTGTACACTGTAATGTGTGTTCACCACCCCAAGTCATCTCCTTCTATCACCATTTATTGCCCCTACACCCTCCTCCACCTCCACATAACTGCAATCCCCACACCTTTGTTCGTATCCATGTTTAACACCCCCACCCAGTCCTGCAAGCCCCTGCCCCAACAGCTGTCAGCCTGTTCTCTGAGACTATCTCTATTTTGCTTGTTAGTTCATTGTGTCTATTTTTATATCTTTTTTTGAATCTGACCTTATTTCTCACCTATCACACTCTTGAAACCCTTTTACCTCTTACAGTCAAGGTCAGCAACAAAACCTCTGAACCCTGAACCTCTTCTTTCAGTATTCCCTCAAATGCGTTGCTCTAATTGAAATCTGGGACTCTCCTAAGCACACGTTTTTTTCCCTGAAGCCCTCAATCTTTCAATTTTTACTATCATTATCATAATTACATTATTAACATTGTTGCCTTATTCTGTAAATGAAGCAGCCCTCCAAAATCTGCTATGGTGAGGAAAGAAATGTCCCCTTTATTTCTTGCATTTTTTATACTGTTATTTCTTTCTGCCTCTTGAAAAAAAATGTTCAAACAATGCTACCCATGACTGTTTATTACAGTCAATTTCCAATTCCCCATTTACTTCCCTGATGTGCTAAAGATTTAAGCTCCTGGTTCACTGGTATTTTTTTCCAAATACACTCTTGTCCTAATTCTTAGTGATGTCAATATCCACACACTTCCCTTTCTAATATCCAACCCTACTAGCACTTCGTTCTCTCTTTTAATCATCTTGTCCTTCAAAATTTCTCAGATGCTATTCCCATTGTCATATAACAGATGTCATTACCAATAGCCTTAATCACTTCCAAACCACGCTCTTTTCTTTCCCAAATCCTACACTGTAGTGTTTCAATTTCAACAATATTTCTTCCATTGGAATCTAATAGTCTATTGCTCCGAATACTCTTTCACTGTCCATCTTTATTTTCATGCCCTCACTGTCTTCCTTACCTAGGAATGCTATGAGTCATCATATAATTGGTCTCCCTTGAATATACCTCAACCTCCTTCCCCTTGTCTCCTTTATTATGGATCCTACCCTGGAAAAAACTACACACTGGCCAACATCCTCTGTCTACTCCATGCTTCCCCCTGAACAGACGAACATGGCTGGAGGAAGAAGTCAAAGCATGCTCCTTGGTCCCAGCGAACCCCAACCGTAACTGGCCTATTCGTTTTTCCAGACAAGCACCCTATTTTCTCCTAGTCATTTTCCTCTCCCTTTGGCCTGGATGGTCACTTTATAGCTTCTCATCTGTAATCCACCCTCCAACTTCTCTATTCCTATCCTCATTCACAGTTGGTACCTTTGCTTTCCATTTCCCTGATAAAATAAAAACACAAGAATATTTCTATAAGCTTTCACTATCACATATACCCCACATTTATGCCCTATTTTTTCATAGCACCACCCCCATCTAATATGCTATATTCCTTATGTAATTTGTTTATTGCATATTTCTCCCTTCACTGATGTCATTATACATTCCAAGTGCATAAGATTTTTGTCTTTTGTTTGCTTTGTGCTTATAGTATCTACAAGTCTGGCAAAGTAAAATGTGTAATAAATATCATATACATATACATATTCTATTTTTTAAAATGTTGTGATAGACCATATCACCTTCCCTTTGAAAATGATATAACTGATGTTGCAACAGTTTAAGTGATTTTCTGAGGATCACTGGATTGCTCAAGTGGTGGGGCCTGGGTTCCCACCCGTGTCATTCTAAACCCAAAGCTTAAATATGTGTGGAGTCAAGTCTAAAGTATTCGTTCCAACGGCCTGAGTTCTTGGTGTTTGTTCCCCAGAGTATCTTTCCAGGTTTATCTTGCTCTACCTTCCTATACACTCTGCTCTTCAACAAACAAAACTTCCTGCATTTCACGGTGTCCGAAACTGAGACAGCCCCCCTCTGTGTAAACAAGTGTCCTTTACAGAGCCTCCAGGGTGTTCTGCCTCTGGCCTGTGGAAATCTGTTTATTCTTTTGGATTTATAAAAAATAATCTCTCTCCCCCCTACCCCTTCTCCCCTCTGTTTCACATTCCTTTTAACTGGATTTTATCACCCCTTCTTTCAGTTCTTAACAATGTTACAATCTATCTTATAGCACCAATCTAATTTATAAAATAGAGAAAGAGATCCATCATTTCCGTTTCAACTTCCTTCAGACTCACTAGCAGACCAGGAGTTCCTTGCACTACTTAATCATTTTTATATTTTCCATACAGCAACACCACGGCATGCTTTTCACCTGACAATCATAACTAGCACCCTTTGACCTCTTACTGCCAAATACTGTTCTAAGCCATTCATGTGTTAATTAATTTAATCTTCATAATCCCACAACAACAGGTAGTGTAATTATCCCCAATTTTCAAATGAGGTGAGGTAGAGACCTTGCCAAAGTCTCACAGCTAATAATTATTTGAGCTGAAATTTTAACCTAGGCACCTGGACCCAGAGGAATTGAACTTAACCTTGAATAAATACTTTCAGCTAGTGATTGATAATTTTACCATAAGTATTGATTGAATCCAATAAACTGAATACCAGCATCTTAAAAATATCACAGAAACACAGGGGAAACTAGAAAAGTGGATGTCAACTAGTG